AAAGATAACTATATTAAAGTTACCTGAAGAATATGGCTTTTCCTTGAATATGTCACCAAACATCAAGTTGATACAATGAGAAATACATGAAGTCCAATAGATGTGTGGATATATAGCTTCCATCATCTTATCCGCACTAAAATTCTCATTAGCATTATCGATAACAACTTGTACAACATTTTCCTTTCTATTTTATCAATAGTCTTTCTAGACAAGTTGTACATTTTGCTTCCATCCGTAGAAGAGTTGCTAGCATCGTAATATTCAAGAAAAACACTTCCTCTTGGAGAGTTCACCAACACATTTATGATCATTTTTCCATTTTGTGCTGTCCATTTATCCATCATAATGGAACATCCAAACTTGTTCCATTCCACTTTATGCTCCTCAATAACTTGGTCTACCTTCTTCACCTCTTTTTTAAGATGAGTTACTCTAACTTCATGATAGCTAGGAAGTTTCATTCCTGGGCCATATTGTCCTACGGCCTCAATGAGTTTATCAAAAGTTTTATAGTTAACACAGTTGAAAGGAAGCCATGCATCGTATATCCATACTGCAAAGGCACTTACACCACGACCCCTCAAAATCTTCTTGGCTTCTAAACCTGAACCAGAATCACCTTTTCTCTTTTCTTGATGTTTTGCCGAGAAATAAAGATTGAGAGGACCTTTTGTCACTGCACGTGTCGTGGATGACCCACTAGAACTATTTGAAGATATATTATGAGTTTGGGGTGGGGGGGGAGGTCCCATTTCACCACCTTCATCCATTTCATCACCTTCATCAATTAGATTCACCGATGCTTCATTTTTCTTATCAACAAACGCTTTTACTTCCTCCCTAACCTCGGGCGGACAAAAAGGACATTGTACTACATTTTTAAATCCACCTATCAAATGTTGGTCATGACGAGTTATTCCACAATAATATATTTTTTTCACAAAACATACATTTAATTGCGGATCTTGTTGAGCCTTGTATACCATAATTCCAAGCTATATCATTTTACTACTATCGGATGACGTCATTTCAATATTATTTTATAGAAAAACATTATCAAGTCAATATGTAATTAATTCTACTATATAAGACTATAAGTCTATAATTAAAAAAACAGAGCAACAAATCAGAGAAAAAAAAGGCTACTGCCTCTGGCCCTCTGCTCTGCCTCTGGTCGAATCTCAAAAAACAGAACCCCAAAAAAAAGATCCGGTCAAAAAACAGAACAAAGAAAGAAAGAAAGAAAGAAAGAAAGAAGAAAAAAAACAGAGTAAAGAAAGAAGAAGAAAAACATAGCAAAAAAAAGACAAGAAGAAGAAAGAACTGATCACTAAAGAAAGAAGAAAAAGAAAAAAGAAGACAGCAATGGTGAAGACGTGAAGTCGACCAGAGCTGAAATAGAAGAAGAAAAGAAAAGAAAGTAACATACCTGTTGATGACTGATGATGGAAGAAGAAGAAGATGAAGCCCAAGCCCTAATTTTGTCGCTGAAGGAGAAGAAGTGGTCGCTGCTCGTCGCTGAAGGAGAAGAAGTGGTCGCTGCTCGTCACTGAAGGAGAAGAAGTGAAACCCAAGCCCTAATTTTGTGTTTTAGTATAATTGCTTACTTTTCTTCTGTTATTTCAAATAGCGACGCCTCGCAGCTCCTCTCGCTACACAGGCAGAGGCGCTCGCTTTTCTGATTCGCAATGCAACAGACCAAAAAGGCGCAGCTGCCTCGCCTTGCGTCGCTACACGCTATTAGCAACGTAGCGCTCACTATTTACGAAACTGCTCTATAGATAAATACAAAAAATAACTTTCTGAGAGAGATTCGATCTTTACATTCTATCCATTGTCATTTCCACCAGATCAGAGAAAGTGTATAACATTCTCTCATATTCTTGTCATTCAACATTACCAAAAGAAGGAATCATTCGCCTATTTCATTATTGGGTGAATCATCATCTTTATTTACATTTAGTGTTATTTATCGTTATTTATTACTTATTCTCACCCCATTAATAACAACAACATTTATTATGTATTACATTAAGTCCATTTCAACGTGGTCTCACATTATCCACATAAACTAATTCTAGACCTATGATTATTCTCTTTAACTAGGATTAATCCCTTATCTTTTTACTTAATTAGTTTAAAAAAGAGCTTCATATTTTTTGGTCAAACATAAATGACATGTGGTAATCGTATAAGGAGTAATATGGTATAAGAATGACCATGTATGGTATAGTGCTTTAAAGATATATATTTCAGTATTAAAATTTGACATCTAGATATTGATTGAAGAAGGGATATTACGAAATAGTTGGATATTTATAAATGAATATGATTGTTATGCATACAATAACCATTAGGGGTGTCAATGGTTCTGTTCGGTCGGTTATTTTATAAAATTTGTATCATACCAATTTTTCGGTTATCCTATTATGCATAACCAAAATTAGACTTTTCGAAACTGTCCCCATCATGTCGGTTTCTCTTCGGTATCGGTACGGTTCGGTTAATTTCGGTATTTTTTTAAATATCATATAAAATTCACCAGTAGAAGTAGAATGCAATAACATACGTTCTTTTATATGACTTAGTAAACCTCACATTTTTACTATTTAAAGGATGATGAGTTAAAAAAATGAAAGATGGCTAGAGTATAGATCCATCAACTATTCTACAACAACGTAAAAGAAACCAAGCAAAGGGAAAGAAAGTATAAATCACACGAGTAGAAAGATATTAACCAAGATATGACTCAAATAAAGTCAATAGAATATTAAATATACAAAAAGATAAATCTAAATTATATGAAAGAAAATATATTCAATACATTGTAGTTTGCTACTCATAATCGCTAGAATACTTTGTGTCTTGCTAATAAAGATACTTGAAATAACTTAGTTTAAGTAGAAGTAGCATAATATGTTTTAGGAATTAGTATTTTGAGTTTAATTACTTGTTGGCTTGTAATAGTTTTCATAATTCAAAGGCCCAATGAAAAATTTAGTGCATTATTATTTTTAAACTTACTAGATAAATATATTTCCACATGTAAAATTTATTCGGTACGATTCAGTATTTTTTTGGTTTATTTTTATAAAATAAAAAACTTACCCTTATTATCGGTGCGGTTATAGATTTATATAGGAACCTACGATTTCTTAAAAAGAAACCTAAAAGTCGGTTCGGTGCGGTACAGTTCGATCGGTTTAGTCAGTTTTCGAATATCCATTGACACCCCTAATAACCATGCCTCAATCCAAACAAGTTAGAGACTATTAATTTAGATTTGAACCATATAATTAGAGGGGAACGCTCTCTATTTGAATCTATTCCCAAACCCCAAACCCGAGACCTTTAATTAACTAAAGAAGGATTTCATGGATCCCACACACTCATTAGTATTGATTCATTTATTATCTTTTTTGGCCCGAATATAATAGCAGGGCAAGATGGCCCAAGGATAACTTTTAGGTATAGTTACCTCCTATAGCAAAGGTTCATACCTTATTTATTTTAAATAAATACCCTTTTAAAAAATTATATTCCATAGCTACCTCTTGATTTTTATAGTCAAATATCTATTTATGGTCACCTCCTATTCTTAAGCCATAAAATATGTCTTGTATTATTTTTCTCTCTCATTTTTTCAGATTTTTCTCCACCCTCTATCTCTCAACTCCAGTCTTTCTCCATGAATAACCCCACAATTCTCCCAAATACAGATCGAAACGAGCAGCTTTGACTCTCAATCTGAAATTTTTTAGCAAGATTGGAATGGAGAGAGAAGTGAAGTCAACAACTATGGACAAAAATCAAAAAGCTTCAATATTTGATACGGCCATGAATCAGAAAAGGCCGCCAAAATACCCTTACAACCCTAAACAGACTCATGTGGACGTTGAAAATGCCACAGGTGTGATGATTTAATTTGTAATTTATGATTTATTACAGCCTATTAAGTTGAATTAACTCAATGTGCTATGTTGTGTCCTCTTCTCTTTGTTGTTCTAGGGTTCTGTTCAATCTGGAGTTTTCCGTCCCAATCCACAAGCGTCATTCAAATTCAATTGTAAAGAATAGGTTTTTTGAAGCGCATTTGAGGGTATTATGGTAACAGGAACAGTGGCGTTTCGAGTCAGAATCGTGGTCTTCTTGACGATACGACATTAGGGTTATTCTTGAACAAAGATGATGGAGTTTGGGTCTGAGCAACTTGAATTTCCTGTTAATATAACTCAATGTATCTCGTTGTATTTCCATGTATTTCATTGTATTCATTGTCTTTTTTTCATTGTATTTCAATGTATCTCGTTGTATTTCCATGTATTTCATTATATTCATTGTCTTTTTTTTTCATTGTATTTCAATGTATCTCGCTGTATTCCATGTATTTCATTGTATTCACTATCTCGTTGTATTCCATGAATGAATGTATTAATATATTTTTTTAATTAATACTCCCTCCGTTTCAATTTATGTGAACTCATTTGACTGGGCACGGAGTTTAAGGAAAGAGAGAAGACTTTTGATCTTGTGGTCTAAAATGAGGCACATATATTATGTGTGGCTATAAATCTTTGTGTAAAGGTAAATTGTTTCCAAATAAGGAAAGGGGTCATTCTTTTTGGCACGGACTAAAAAGGAAATAGGTTCACATAAATTGAAATGGAGGGAGTATAATTTATGTATTCAGATGTATATATGTATTCAAATTGCTCTGTTTTTGTTGTATTTATCGGCTGGGAAAAATATTCAGCATATTTTCTCTGAAGATTGCTATGTTTTTGGGGTATTTTTCGGTTGAGAATCTTTTTTATAACTGAAAATATAAATTTTGTGTGTTATAATTGAGTTTGTTGAGTTATATTAGGAGTCTATTACGTTGATTGATTCACTTTCCGTTTAAAAACAGCTGAATAGACCATGAATTGCGCTATTTACGTTAATGTATTCACAAATACATATCGTGAATATAGTCGAATACAATNTATTTGCATCTGTTATCTATTGAACTTTTCTTATACATGTACAAGAATATATTCCCTAATCTCTCTTTTTTCATTGTTGAACCAATTTAGTGCAACTTGAAAGTACCAAATACAAGTTACAACTGTTTGTAGAAGAGAACGTACGCTTGATCATGCAGCACCGAGCTTTTGGGGATGACTGTGACTGACACATCATCGTAACGCAGCCACTTGCCACTTGGATGACGGGCATCGGCTGTATAATGACCCTTTGAAGGGTCCCTTCCATGATGAGTGATCGTCGCAACGAGTTCATACCTCTTAACCTGTAGTAATAAAATGGAAATATCCGCTTTAATAGATACACTCATCAACGCCACGCTTCTAAGAACAAGGAGATAATCTCACCTCGGAAGAGGGAGAGGCAAGTAATTCACGTCCAAACACAAGCTCCAAAGGGAAGTGCACGGGTTTA